TAGAAAATTTTCATAGCATTATCATGGAGAAGAAAAATTTAGACTCCAGGACTTTAAAACCAAATATTGAAACTAGGTTCTGGGTTTGAATTGAGAGTCCGCTGCAAGCTACTTGTATAATCTTGAGAACCTTCCAGAATGTTCTCAAGTGTCAATTCCCCTATCTAAACAGAAAGAGATATTGGCATAGAATCATAAAATTGTATTTGAAAATTTAGCTGTGATGATGGTTTCACTTACATATGTATATATGCAGATGTAATAAAAGCCACTGAGTTGCACAGTTTAAAGGGTTGAGATTGTGTGATATGTGACATGTCTCAACATAGTTGTTGCCAAAATATTTTCCAAAACTGTTTAGCATTGACCACTATAACATATAAATGCTCACTTTTTTTTTTAGTTTAAGTGTTCTTCCTCAGATACAGATTATTAACATTGCAGGATTTTTCTGTGAACTCACATATAAAACTAGAGGGTGGGTTAATCAGTAGAGAAAGGGGACAATTCTGAAGGATAGAATTGGACTTTTAGTGATGAACATAATGTAGTACATACACTACATTTTTCAGTGGTGCACATCTGAAACTCACATAATGTTATGCAATGTTGCTTCAAGAAAAAGTACATTGTAATGGGAAAAATCTATTTCGGTAACATATTTATGTACTTCAGTCTACTATTCAAATATCAATTTGAATTAATCTGTAAGATTATAAAATTCTAAATGATGTCTTGTGAAATATGACTTTAATATGTTATTAAAATGGAAATATGGGAGAGAAAAAAATTGGTTAGAAGTATGATTTGAAATAACTGCTTTTAGATTAAAACTGGCAAACCCCCTAAGTCATGTTAATTTTAAGTATTAAAAAATATAGTACTTTCACATATAAAACTATTAACTGTGTTGGCTGACAGTACATAAGTTGTTAATTTAAAGTAAATTAAACATTAGTTTTATTGTTTACCATAACATACGTGTGTTTTTACAAAGATAAATAATAAGGAAACTCTGAAATAAAGAGAAAATCTGGAGCAAAAATAAAATATGATTAAATTATTAAACCATTCCTCAGTAAAGAGACTAGAAGTACAGGAAGGAAGGAGGGAATGGAAGGTTCTGCAAAATTCATCAGTATGCAGTGATTCTACAAAAGTCACAGGATCAGTACCTAGACGATCAGCTTTGCTTTCAATTTTTCTCCCGGTAAAGCTTTCCCAAGTTTTGCTGAATGATGTCAATGCAAAGCTTTTCCAAACTTCCTGGACATTTTACAAGCAACTCACTGGAGATGCAAAAAAAATATCTGGGGTCTTAGCCAATAGCATTCCTCTGTGAATACTGGCTTTCAGTTTGCTTTTTATCTTTCTTAATTGGAGTTATGCAATCTTAAAGATTTACAGTTAAAAAGTCAAGCAAAATACAAATTTGAAGAAGTAACAAACATGAAAATGATAATTCTTTTTAACCCTGCTGTGGACATGATGTTTTATTCTTATATAGAAACAGGCTGGAATTTTTTAATGCAAGCATGCACTTTAATTAATTCTAGAGTATAATAAATCCCCAGGCTAAATCTTATTGGCACTTATTAAGTGAATGTTTTAATCTAACGAGTTAGTGGGGAAAAGTAGAATTAATGTCATTTAAGAAAAAGCGCAGATTTCTTAAACTGGGGAACAAAGGACAAAAATACATTAACAAATATCATAGTTTTCTCTGAAACTTAACAATATCATAGTTTTCTCTGAAATTCAGGTGGGTTTTTGTTTTGTTTGTTAACAACATTTTACTCATTGATTTGTCTTTTTGTGTTCTCTATTTTCATTGTCTGTGTGTTTCAGTGAGCACCAAATATGAGATCTACTAGGCATTTGCTGTATGTTATTTTGGGTTATTAGACAGTGTCTGATGATGCCGACTCCTCATAGGCTTAGCAAGCACAGGATCCAGGAGAGACATTTTTTGGGAGAAAATTGCTCAGGAAATATATATGTCTTCTTGACAAGTCTTTCCAGGTTGGATGTCCCTGAAAGTATATGGGGTGGTATCCCTTTAAGTACAAGGAAAGGGCAGATCCCGCTGTTAGCCCTGACCCTCTGACAAAATAGTCAGGCACTGTTTGTAAAAAGAGCCAAGTAATTAAAAGTATCCCAGGGTTATGGTGAAATAGGGCAAGTAGAATACGCTCCTGGATACCAGCTCTTTCAGGATCGGTTCTTTTGTGTTTTCTCTCTATTTTGTTTTCTTTTTTATTTCATATTTTCATGGCACAGTTTCCCCTCTCCTGCATTGTTCTTCTTTGCTTGTCAGGTGGTAAAATAATAAGTACCATTATTACTGCTTGTCTAGCATGAGGCCCATCTGGAGCTGTTTGTTTCTAACCCTCAAGACACCCAGACTCCTGAACTACATTTGTTCCTCTTAATTTCAGAATGAAACATTAATGATAAAATGTAGTATAGAAAGATTCATAAGTAGAGTGACTTAGCTACCCAGGGAAAGAATGAGAGAATATTCATCATTTCACATGTATTTTTCTTTCTTTTTCCTCAAGATGATATTTCTAACAAAGAGAGACCAAGTTTCTCATATCTTCGCTGCCTCTAGGTTGACCATATATCCCAATTAACTTAAAACTTTCTGGGTATATGCCTGTTGTAATGATTAATTAATAGCACATCTTTTCACTCTCAAAAGGGTTCTTAATTAGATGATAGTATGATTATCCTAGCACTCTCTTTTGTTGAACTGTTGGGTAACTGCTCAACAAATAGAGAAATTCTCATTTTGTTTAAAGAGTTCATAAAGAAATTCTCTGGGTAGTCACCCTTGCTTCTGTTATTAAATAACTATTTGTACTGTCAACTTTGAAGTAGAAACAATTTGTTACTGTTCAGTATGTCCCCATATCTGTAAATTATATTAGGAAGTAGTAGAATACATGGACCTTGTGTCAGGTAGAATGAGTTTGAATCTGTTATATCACTTAATACCTGTATGACCTTAGCAAATCATTTAACTTCCCTGAGCTTAAGTTTTCTTTTCTGTAGCATGCACATAATAATAATGTCTGCTGTGGGTTGTGATAAGAATTAAATAATAGATGGTTATAGTTATATACTTATATTAATCCACGTATCTGTCCATCCAGACATTTTATTCCTCTATACATTATTTAAGCACAATGAGTGACACTGCAACCAAAAGTGGTTTAAAATAACAAGAATATATTATGTTGATTGGATAAAGCTCTAAATTTAAATATTGTAGGGTTAACTAATTCATTTTCTAAGTTGAGTTCATTCTAAAGGCTGGCTCCTCAGTAATGCAGCCTGGCTGTATTAGTTCCAGGCATCATGTACACACCCAATAGCATCCAGGGGCCTAAGAAAGCACTGCCTCTCATTTGCTCTCTCTCTTATGTCTTTACTAAGGAACTTCACCCAGAAAACTCTCTTTAAGCTTCTTCTCCCTCCTTGTTGGCTTCCATTTATCTGCACTATTAGGAATACCTAATATTCCTAATAGTGCAAGATCCCACCAGCTATTAACATCTGTTTTGGCTTGGTCTACTCAAAAACACCATAGTCCTAAGCTTACATGGACAATCTTCCTATTTCTTGATCTATTTCAGATTCACCATACCATTTTTAGATATGAACTAATGGAGACTGTAGAATAAGAAAAGCTTTGGGTTTAAACTCATGTTCACCATTAATAACACAGTGAATGCAATTTATTAAAGGAAAAAGCTCTTTGTAAATGACAACGAACTATAAAAATCCAAATGATGGTTAAAATGTATTTGATGAACTACTATGACTAAGAAGAACTTTCTTTTTCTTTTTTTAATTAAATTCAGGGACAGAAGAATATAAACCAAAACCAACCTTAAAAATCTGACTATAAATGTAGAATAGGATGATGGGAAGTAAAAGAGGTGGGGAGCTAGTGGTCTTTGGTGAAGGATTATGAGAAACAAGCAGATCTCTAGCTTCTTGCCAGGGATCACATTCTAAGATGCTAGGTTCTTTGTAAGAGTCACTCTCTAGAGATGGTGCAGATGTGGGGAAAACTGCTTTGTGTAGAATCACGGCTTCAGAATGTGAGTTGTCAGACAATAGAATGAAGGATGGGTGCTTGGAAAATTGGTAACTACTCTCCATCATGTGAGAACAACATGGGAAAACTGGCATTCATTTCTCAGATGTCACATTTGTTGTTATCATTCCAGTACTTTGGTTTTTATCCTCTTTCCTGTCTTCTGGTCATTTTGCTGCTTTTAGCTGCTTGAGCTTAAGGTGGGTAAGAAATGAGATGGAATTTTAAACCTGTCAATTTTAAAGTCTGGTTGACAGTTATATTGTGACACAATGGATAGAGGAGTGGTTATGAATTCTGTTATTTGATAGGAATAGCAAATAGACTGGAAACATTAGTTTTAGCTGACTTTCAGTCAGTCACTGAAATAAGTGACTGACTATAAAACCATCCAGCATCTCCCATGGGTTACCCTTACTTTAGGTTCAGAAATTATAGAGTAACCTTAATTATTTGACATCATTTTGTATGGTTCTGTAAGAACATCATGTGAGCTAGAAATTTCATAGACTTGGAACACAGAGATATTTGACTTCAGATTTCTGCTTTACTCCATACTGAGTGGAAGGTGTTACAGACCCTCAGTTTCCTCAGTTGGTAAATGTGGCAGATAAAATAATCATCTTTGCCCCAAGAAAAAAAAAGTGTCCTTTTTTGAGGATTAAATAAATAATCACATTATATCTTTAAAACATACTATGAGTCACACTGCATAGCACATAGTCAATATCTAATGAGTGTTGGATAAAAAATAACTGGTGCTCAATAAATGCTATTTCTCTACTTTCATCTTTTTCACTTTCCCAGAATTCTTAGCAGCTTGACTACAGGAGAACCTACCAGGTAAAATGTCATCTTTTCCTTTCTTTTTCATTTCTCTGCCTCTATCCAGGTTGATGAGTGATCTCTCCCCTGTCAGAGCTGTTAGGAGAAAATACAAATGGGTAAGTACATTTTCCATTTAGCTCTCAATTGTCTTTGAACTAGGTTGGGTGAAAATGAAGCCCAGCTTCTGGGATTTTTACTCTTTTGCAGGACCCTTGAGAGAAGAGATGAGTTTTACATCTGTTGCTGGATGTGGTAATTTTGGGTTGAGGAGGTGCATCTCTGCTGGAAGACACTTAGGCCCCTGGCTCTCAATCAAAACAGCTCTTCCTCTGGGTGCTTTGTTTCACCCTAGAGACTCCCAGTTGAGATGTTGGTTGTCACAGATGTGAGAGTGAAAGCAGCTGATAGAAGAAGCAGAATACAGAAACTCAACAGCTAACATCCCAAACACACTCTAATTGAATGATTAAAAAAAATAATAAAAGGATGCCTGAACTTAATAGATGTAACATGCAACCTCTCAGTTTCTAGAAAGGGTTTCCTCACCAGATGAGCAGCACCAGGCACTGAAGAGTCCAGAAAGTAGTTTATATTTAGAAAAAACAAAACCCAAAAAACCTCCCTGAATTCTCCCCAAATTTTGTGTGATTTTTAATGGGATTCTCTTGGGATTTTAGTGGAATGTAGTCAGAATGGTTGACTGTCTAATCTGCCTTTTAGAAAATGTATCCTGCACATAATGGAAGGAGGAAAAGTGAATTTAAAACCACCTGGATCCAAATAAAAATGTTCACATAGCAGGGTTTTCAGTGGGTTCCCAGATTTGAGGTATGAGCCAGAGGATTGAGATGAGTACTGCCTGGGGCAGGAGAGAGGTAATTTGAACAGGCAGGCTTGACTGTAGTTGACATTACTTTTTGTTTTATAAATCCCAGTCCCTGATGAAGTCCCGTTAAAGAAAGAAATAACAGTGAGAATTGTTTATGAAAAGTCTGGGTAGTTGAGAGTTTGGCCTTCTGTGGAATTGCTCCACTGATAACCAACAGCTCCATCATTTCCAGTGTACTGTGGCTGGTTTAGACTTTTCTTTTTCTTCTAAGACTGCTTCTAACAGCTGGAGTCAGGGCGCCTCCCTGCCTCCCCACCTCTGTTTCATTTCTTGCTACAGACCATCTGAGAGGGGAGTTTAAAATTACTAAATTTGGGGGTGGTAAGGAGCTTTATTTTCCAGATTGAACTGCCAAAGACCTCAAGGAAATTGAAAGACAGGAGAGGGGGGTAGGGAAGACAGGAGGGAGGGAGGGAGGAGGAACTGGAAGGGACGGAGGAAGAGTGAGCTGCTATTTCTGATAAAAGACATTTCTTAAATTTGTTGGCTGTATGGTTATTAAGCTAAAATCACTGGTTATTCTGAGTATTATTTATTTTCTTTGGCACTCAGTCAATGCTGAGCAGAGGAGTGAAAATATGGTGACAAGATAAGGATAATGAGAGGAAGCAAACCTATTGTAAGATAGCCGGGGACTAAAACTCTTATAGAATGTGTTTCCCCAGAGGAGGGAAACAGGAATATTACCTCATTGCAAAACAGTCATTAAACCATAATTGAATGCTTCACAGATGGCAAGAGCTAACATTTAGCAATGTCTGACTTGACTTTCAGTGAAAGTTAAAAATTAAAATCACTCTCCTGATGCAACAACACAAATTATAGAACAATACCAGAGAGATTTTCTAGGATGATTTAGAATGTGCTTTGGTTAAAAAAAAAAAAAGAAAGAAAGAAAGAAAGGAAGAAATTATTACCATTGCTCCTCACAGAGTATCATCTTGGGAAATGTATCTGGAAGGGGAAATTGTTCAACACAAGGTCTTCTTGGAGACCTATGTCAAGTAGGTGGAATATTTGTGAGTCATTAATCCTGGTTCTCCTTTCCTCTTTCCTGCAGGTTCCACATGCTCCTTCAGTTGCATTACACTAGAGTAACATAGAAACAGCAGTATTCCATCTCTCTCTCTCTTTCTCTCTCTCTCTCTCACACACACACCATTATTTCATATCTTTTCAAATGTATATCAAAAAAAAAGTTTAAAAAGCCTTTTCAGTATTGATTAAACTCATATTATGCTTAGAATTTAACTTTCCTAGCTATAATAGTGGGACATGAATAGACTGACAAAATGATTATTCTGCACCACTCATAGAATATTAGTTAAGTTGGGCTGTTCTATACTTAGCTTTCCATGATGCTACTCCATATTTTCTGACTAAATAGGTCAACCTTCAGTCACTTATTTAATCATTCAGTGACTACTTATGACATGCCTACAATATGCCAGGCTCTCTGCTAGAGGAAAGGCAGTTCCCATCTCACAGGAATGTAGCCAAGTGGGGAAGGAATTATCACACCATGCAGTGCTTAATGAAATAATCTTGTGTGGTACACTGTGCAAAAATTAAGAAAGCACCCAGCTCAGCAGTGGGAAGAACTCCATAGAGTTAACAGCCTCCTTCTATACCTCAGAGACGGAGGCAGAGGAAGAGCAGTACCAGTGTCAGCAGAGGGGACAGAGCTTGCAGACAGTTTATATTATGGATCTAAATTCTTAACTGCAGGGGGTGGGCAGACATGGCTGCATTTTGTAGAGTATACAGGCATAATCAGACTTAACCACTAAAAAGTGTATTACCTCTGTTTGGTACCATACATGTTGAACTTTAAATTATCTAGGGTTTTGGTTCAATTTAGAATCTAATTCAGCAGGTATGGGATGTAGTTGATTTGAAGAACATAATATGAATATCCAGGGACCAAATAACCCGAAACCCTCCTGCCATATTACTTAGAAACACTAGGTAAAATATATTTTTAAAAAATCCCTACAATCATTTCATTTGTATGTGGAATATAAAAAAACAAAACACAGGAACCAGACAAAGCAAACTAAAAATCCTGACTGTAGAATTGAGGCTAAAAGATGCAGCAGGTAGGGAAGAGCAAATTGTGAAGGGAGCCTTGGTGGTAGGTATGGAGTGTCAACATAACTTGCACTTTTGAACCATATACAGTGTTGTATACCAACACTACCTTAGTAAATATAATTATATTTTTAAAGCAAATAAAATTGCAACTCTAAAATATACTTCTAAGTGCATGCAGAACTTTCAAAAAAAATTTATTCCTCATGGGGCAGGGAATAGGAAGCATGAAAATATAAAACAAAAAATGAAAACAAAAGCAAGATTTACTATTCATTGGGACCTAGGAGATATAAAGAGCAGTAGTAAAGGTCATGGGCCCACTTGGGTGAAATTATCACATGCTCATGAAGACAGGACTAGAGAGGGCCAATCCACGTACAAGGACAACTGAGTCTCAGTAGTTGTCAGTATCAGTGCCTGCCTCTTGTGTTGCGCATCCTAGGTGCCTTTTCTCCATTCCTAATCCTGGCCCTACTCCTACCCCAGAGCTTTTGTTCTCTGTGCATTAGCTGCTAAGACAGGATTCCTTCTTCCTCATGCCACTTCTCTCCCCATTTTCTTGTGATTGGCTCCTTAATTCAGACGCTAGTTCAAAGATAAAGGCCAGAGTCAGATTTCCCTGACTCTGTCATGTGCTGTATAACAACACCAATGCACTTTTTTCCCTCTTTCAAACATCTATCACCATATGAAATTATTCTTTAATTTGTTTATGAGTTTATTGTTGGTTTTCTGACTAAAAAGAGGGAATAAGAAATAGGCTGAATAATGAAGGCTCAGCTTCAGGGAACTAAGTTGGAATACTGATTTCATGAAGTGACTGTTTCAAATCCTGTCCCACTGAAATGCATGATATACAGAACCTGATCCGCTTTTGGCAACTGAAAAACACATAAGAGATATTGTGCAAATCTGCCCCAGCTGCACTGTGGTATAGACAATATTCCCAGGATCTGGGCTGGCGCAAGGATATACTACTAAAAAGGGAAAGATCGGATGTGTTGAAAATAGGAGGGGAAGAGCACACATTTTTTTATTCTAGAGAATTTGAAGGGATCAGGATTGGGGTGCTGGAACTAAATTAAGAAAAACAATGGCCATAGCAATGGGAAAAAAAAGGTAGTTGACTATTGAGGTCCCTCAGAGCAAGGAGCTTATAAATGTACCTGAGCCTGAGAGGAGCACCAGTGGCTTAATGGCATGCCGCATCATCTGTGTGGGACTGTAAATTCTCAGTACAGGGATTGTGTGTGAGTGTGTGTGTGTGTGTGTGTGTGTAAGTGTATGCATGTGCTTTTTCTTCTGAAAACTGCTTAGACAACATAGATTTATGTAGGACTTTCAGCAAGTTAGCATCCTAAAAGAATTGTGTTATCTGTCCCCATCACACTTACCTCAAAATGACACTAAGCATAAAAAAAAAAAAAATAGATATTTCCTCATGAAGTTTTCTTTTAAAGTTTCTTCCTTTAATAAAATTGTAAGCCCGCAGGTAGTTACAAGAAATTACAGACCCAAAGTATTCTCAGTGACAATACTTGACAAATTACAATCCAGTACAACAATCAGGACATTGACATGATTGCAGCTCATCTCTCTTACTCAGGTTTCCTGGTTTCACTTCTATTCATCATGTGTGTTAATTAATTCTAATTAATTTCATCACATGTGTGACTTAGTGCATTCACCACCATGGTCAAGATGAAAATCAGGCCCATCAGTACAAGTATTTTTCATGTTTCACTTATGTAACCATTCCAGGAGTTAGAGGGATTTGGGGACTGATCAGGGAAAAGGCCTGACCAAATGGCAGTAGCCCACACAAGCTTTTGTTGGGCAATTCTTTAACAGGATCTATTGTTGGGGGACTCCCTCACAGGACGAGACTGTCTAGAGATTAATTCGTGGGGATCACTACTCAAAAGGAGAGGTGGGCAAAGGAGTTCTCAGGGGAAAGGTGGATTGGAAAGAGGGCTTATATGTCTCTGTGATGTTACTTAGCAGCACAGAGGGGAATCTCTAATAGGTAGCAGCGGCTTGAGGTCTTTATAGTGCAAGGACTTATCTATGACTAACAGATGTTTGGTGAGTTTTGTAGGGTATGTAAAGCAAGGAGGTTTATATGGCTTTATATGGTTAAAAATCTACTTACTGAGGACCTTCTCAGTGGCGCAGAGGGTTGAGCGTCATGCTGTGAAGCTGTCCACAGCCTCTGCAGCGCTGGTTGGATTCCCAGCTGTTCAGGGAGATACCCACATGGTGCAGCAGACCTCTCCTGTCCTGCCCGCTGCTCCCCTCAGCATTGTCTCCTGTCTGTCCGTCTGTTCTGCTCCCTGCTCTGTCTCTGGTGAATCCTCTCACCCCCCCATGTCTCTGTCCTGTGCCCCAGTTCTTGTATAAATAAATATTTAAAAAAAAAAAAGGGGGGAAAAAGAAAATGCTAACTTCTATCAGGAATGTGTGAAAAAGATCCAATAAATTCTAAAACTTAAAAAAAATCTGCTTATTGAT